AAAAGCAAAACAATAACAAACCGGCTTTTAGTTTTCGTTGATTATATAATTATTGGAGAATAATTTGAGAGAAAGGAATAACGTTCTGCAATATAAATACATTTTGATGTAATTTAATTAATTATTTTAAAATAATTACTTTTTGAGTTTGGATATAAAATTGAAATATACTTTATAATAAAAATTTAGACTATTTATTTATAATATTGGGTATATAATTTGTTTATTATGAATTCTACAAGAATATTATTAAAAGTTATTGCATTAAGAATTCTATCAATATATAATACAAAACTCCAATAAATGTCTTGAGAATATAATTATATACAGTTATGGAAATGTTATATAAAACAAATGTACTATAAATAAAAATTTATCTTAGTATAATTTAATTAATTAATTTTAAAATAATTACTTTTTGAGTTTGCATATATATATATATTCTACAATAAACTTTTAGGCTATTTATTTATAATCGTTAGATTTATAATTTTGTTTATTAGGAATTCTATAAAAATTAATTATATTTAAGAATTACATTAATATATAATATAAAAATCTAATAAATGTGTGAACACACATTTATGGACTCTTAATATAAAAATTAAAAAGAATATATGAATAAAAATGTAGAGTAAAGGTTTAGAATGCAAATATGGAGACACGAACTTAACCTTCAAAACACAAAAGCTTTTGGTTGACTGAAATATCACTCAAGATTTGTTTCAACTTATATTACCAAGCAAGAGACCCATGGTTCCACCAGCTCATCATTGTTTATTATACTCTCTCCGTGCTAAAAAGATAGTCCATCTTTTCTTTTTGATTTGTGATCACTTTTTGATACTTAAAAAAAAAAAAAATCCTAAAAGCCAAAGACAATATTAATTCTGCTATTAATGCTTGGCATTACTGATATTAGTTTTAAGGTTCTTTGTTATTTGTTGTTGCTGTCGTCTTAGCTGCTTATTAAATTGTTTATCTTGTTTCGTGAAAAAGAAATTGTGGTAGGGCAAAAAAAAGTATTTATGAGTTTAATTAAAATTGATATTTGAAATAGTAGGGGTCGCTAAAATAAGTGAAAACTGATTTATTTGCCAAGTAAAACTGAGGTTATAGTAAAATTCTTTAATAATTTCACGTAATTGATGATAAAATACTCGATCAGTAAGTTAATTAATGTAAATTTGATAAATATGTAATTGTACCAATCGAATATCTGTGTTCTTGTTTTAATAGGCCTAGTATATACCTTAACTTCACTGCCTTTTGCAATTTCAATTTAATTTTAACTTTTATGTTAATTTTATCCAATTCATATCCTCAATTACAAAATACTATTTTTAGTGGGTCTCACATTCAATGATATTTTAACTTAATACACGTCATTCCTCTCGCTTAATTTCACCTAGTGTTCCTCACTTGAGATGGTAATCCCTTGTTCTGTGTCTTTCTTTTGTTTCTTAAAACTATTTAAACTTAGCACTTTGTAACATTAAAAGGACTATACATGGAGAATGTGTCGGACATATGACATGGCATACCGGAACTAATAAAATTGTTATATTTTTGCCACCTAAGCAATAACTCACTCAGAAATTATTGCTTTAGAGTATGAGATAACTAAAGGCGGGGCTTCTTTAAAAACTAACCAAAAACAAGAAAACAACAAAAGCGTAACTCGAACTCATGTCTAAAATAACTACAGCGCAGCTCGATCTGAAAACTAATCAAGAACAGTAAAACTACAAAAGTGCAGCTCAATTAACCTCGGAAGGACATTTAACAATCTTCTACACTCAATTTTAGTGGGGGCGGTGGCTCTCCTGACTCCGTCACAGAAAATGCCATCGTAGATACTTCATACAAAAATTATATAATAAATTTTAAAATTTGAGCGGTAATTACGATTACTCATCAAACACCGATGAAATTTTTTTTTTTATTGTCAAAGATCTCGTAAATATTTTTCTACAAATAATTATTGACTGTTTTTATTATATTGTCATTTTTAATCTGAGCACAACTCATTTTTAGAAAAGCTGATTTGCATATTAAACACTTGTGAATCATATTTTTAACTTTTCCCAAAGGGTACTTTTTGAAAGTATATCTTCTGAAAAGTAAACCATTTTAAATCAAATGAGACAATGACACGTAAGAGAAATAGTACAAATAACGGCCTAATTTTACTGGTGATTTCTGGATTATAACTCTAAAATTCAATTTGTTATGCAAAAATAAATAAACTTTAATTAGTGTTACACAAAAAGGACTCCGTCTAATTTTCCATTGAACATTAAATTGAAAGCAGACATGGACGTTATTAAATTAATTTAAAATAAAAAATTTTACCATGTCGGCCTTGCTCACCCAACTTTATTTTATTTCTTTCCTCCTCAAGTCTTACCATGCACACATAACACAGTGTATCACTCTCTTCCTTTAGAAGCATCCCCATTTTTTGGAATTAATAAATAAATAAACAAAGCTTCGTAAAAAAAAAGCAACAGCAAGCAATGGCCATAGTCAAGGTAGAAGAGAAGGAGCAGTTTATCCTAAATAAAAGAATAAACCAAAGCTATTCGTAAAAAAAAGCAACAGCAAGCAATGGCCATAGTCAAGTAGAAGAGAAGGAAGCAGTTTATCCATAAAAATAAAAGAAACGAAGAGCTAGAAAGAGCGCTCAAGCAAAAGCAAACTAAAGAAACGAAGAGCTAGAAAGAGCGCTCAAGCAAAGCAAACTAAAGGAAGAAACGAAGAGCTAGAAAGAGCGCTCAAGGAAAGCAAGCAATGGGAAGAGCATATGAGAGAAGAGTTGCAGGAGGCATGGCAGAGACTCTAAGTGGTGGAGGAGCGACTTTGCACTCAGTTGGGTGAGATAGAAGTTGAGTCTGTTAATCAAGTGTGTGCAGATAACGTGCGAATCCTTTCTCTCGTGGATCGACTCTCTCAGGCTCACCATCTCCTCCATAATCAACAAATTAGCAGTTTAAATCTCTTGGATTCTTCTTATTTATTCTTAAAAGAGTTTATTTTTATCTCAAATATCTGAGATTTGATTTCTCAATCTGTGTTTGAAATTGGAATGGGAAAGATAGATTTTGTTCGTGTGACCCTTTTTTCTCCTTTTGGCAATTGGGTTTAAATGCTTAAAACATTTAAATTCTGGAAAATAGGATTTTGCCTAAGAAATACTTTTAAGGGAATTATTCAGTTCAATTAATGAAATTTGTCAGAGAAACTGTGAAATATTTCTTCTTTTGGAAATATTATGGTAGAATGCTACTCCCTCCTGTCTAAGTTTTTGATTTTGCAAAAAAAAGATCATTATTGAAATAAAATTTGAATTACATGTTGTTGTGAGTAAGATCCGAGACAGCTTGAGATAAAGAAGGGTGGAGAGTGATACAGTGTTGAGTGTCCATGGTAAGGCATAAGGAGGAGAGAGATAAAACAAGGTTGAGTGAACAAATTGTTTGAACCTATATGTCATAAATTGTTTCAAGCTATGATAGGTTCATAGGTTCAAGCTATGATAAAAACCTTTAAACAAGTTTAATTGAAACAAGAAATAACAAAAAAAAAAAAGGTTACTATTAAATTTGACATTTCTTTTTCTTATAGTTATTGTCATATAAATATTATTTTTAATTAATTCTCATAAAACTCAACTTGGAAGAATGAAATAACTATTGATTGTCATTAATTATTTTAATCATCTAAAATAAATAATTAATTCAATTTCATAATTAAAATTTATAAAATAAAATATTTAATTATGTACTGAAACATTCTATAATTTTATTTTTAAAATTTTTGAATTTTAATAAATTTAAAATTTTAGATTTTCGATTACATGGACTATAAATACTAAATAATTTTAATCCGAGTTCAAATTTGCAAATTGGGACCAAGCCTAAAGCATATTATCGCAATACCTAATCGAAAATTTTCTAAATTTCTCAAAGATTACTATTAGACGTTAAATATTAAATTAATTATTACCTAATCGAAAATTTTCTTAAATTTCTCAAGATTACTAAATTAGATACAGTTAAAATGGTAAAATTTATTAATTACTATATCATATATACTATATAATACTATGTAATATCCTTTATTAATATATCATATTATATATTATATATTTATATGTTTAGTTTATATTATTCTGGGAGGTGGGTAATAAAATATAATATTGCATATACCTACTGACATTGTTACCCTAAAATTTTAAATAATTACTGTATTATATTAATAATATAGGATTAATTGTTCCGTAATAAATTGGAAGAAAATGTTCTTACGAATCTAATTAAACAATTAAAGTAAAGTACAATATAAAATAAAGTAATCAAAATCAAACAATTAAACCGATAGAAAACATGTTTTAATAATATTGAAAACCGAACATTTGGAAGTAGAAACCAAAATCCGGAGTTAAACGAAATCAAGGAGAGAGAAGAAAATCAAACAAAAAAAAAAAAACACTTACCTCCTTTCCTCTCCCCCAATCAACCCTGACAAGCCCCTCAGTCCCTCTCCTTCCCGTTTTCCGGCAAACGGCCATTTGTTTACAGTGCGAGTGCAGGGCTCTAAATTATCTAACTCGATGCAGGAAGCACGATCAAAACCGTCGGTTCACGCAAAATTAGATACGCATGGATGCAAAAGAGGAAATCTGCTTAAAAAGAAAGAAGATAGAGTTTGGTACCGAATAAGCGGCTAATTTTTAATCTTTCGGGGCGAATTCACTCGCCGTTTTCGAGGAAAGCCTCAGGGCGTGAGATTCAGTACCAAACAACTCCTCTCTTCTTCCTCTTTTCAATTTGATGGCCCTTTCCCGCCGACTGTTATAGCATTGGAATTGGAACACCCTCAAAATGGGCATCCGTCCTGGAACCTTGTCACGGTCCAATTTCCGGTCAAATATAAATCAAACCAATAAACCTAGAAGCTTTTTATAATTGAACCGAACCTTTGGAATGAACCAAACCAGTTAAAGAAAATCAAGGAGAGAGAAAAATCAACAAAAAAAAAAAAACACTTCCTCCTTCTCTCCCCCATCACCGACAGCCCCCCTCTCCCTCTCCTTCCCGTTTTCCGGCCAAACGGCCATTGTTTCAGGCGAGTGAGGGCTCTAAAATTATCTACTCGATGCAAGGAAGCACGATCAAACCTCGGTTCACGCATTAGTCGCATGGATCAAGAGAAATCGCTTAAAAAAGAAGAAGAAGAGTTTGGTACCATAGCGGCTCATTTTTTCGGCGATTCACGCCGTTTCGGGAAAGCCCAGGGCGTGAGTTCAGTACCAAACAACTCCTCTCTTCTTCCTCTTTCATTTGATGGCCTTCCCGCCGACTGTTATAGCTGGAATTGGAACACCCAAAATGGGCACCGCCGAACCTTTCCGGTCAATTTCCGGTCAAATGGTTCACACCACCTTGATTTGATCACATATTAGTAATCCTCTTGTCGAAACGAATAAAATGATGTATTGTTTGTAAATTTGGGTGAAGGTTCGGTTTTACGGCCACCGTGCGGTCTGGTGACCGGCCTGTGACGCTCCGGCGAGGACCCAAGAGACATAATTTTTCCTTTTCCGTGGTGATCGCAAATCTTCGATCTAATTTTTAATCGGTAAGCCCTAAGTCCTTTGAATTTTCTCCTAAGAAATTCAATTAGAACTAGTTAATTCAAGTTATTCTAGTTAAACTTTATTTTAGTTGGGATTTAAATGAGTATAATTTATTATTACATAGATGAAGTACTCGTTATGTTGTATTCTATTACTGAAAAAAAAACTGTCGAGAAACTTATTAAGCAGGAGAAATAATATAATCAAAATTGATGACTTGAAATGGTTGGTTCTAGATTGTGTTGATAATGGAAGGAGGAAGGGCTTAATTGATTGATTTGCCAGACGGATAGGCTGCGATTATATGCTGAACTTCCTTGAATTGGAAACAGGCAGATTGTTCAATTACAGGGGAGATGTTGCTGAATTTTTATCGACGTATCTTTAGATAATTAGATTAATTATTTTTTTTATTTTTTTTATTTTCATTAATTGATGTTTACGGAAGACTGTTTAATTAAAGAATTATAATGAGGTTAAATTAACATTTATAACGTATATAGAAGTCTGTTAATAGTTGTATTAAGCACGTAAATGTAATGGACGGTAAATTATGGGGTTCCGCAATTGTATTTTAAATAGATTGTAATTGAATAATATGGGTACATATATTTATTATGTGAATTGTATTTTGATACGTATATGGAATATAGTTAATGAGCCTGAAGTCATAACTATAATTAAAATATGAATTTAACTAATATAGGCTTACTACATGATTAGGAGGTCTTAAGCCCATTATTCCTCTATTTCAAATTTATTACAATTTAATATGTATTCAAGAAAGCAATTGTCAGTAAAAACTTAAAACTTTTTAATTGAAACAAATGTGATCGTGATATATATATATATATATATATATAGGTAAGCACATTACTTTTAAATTGCTCAAAGCTATTTTTTAATATTTTAAAAATCCTTTTTTTTTATTACCAATCATTTCAAAATGTCGAGAAATAATAATTGCTTCGAACATCAAAACCTTTTTCTAAAATTTTATAAAATTAATCTCACATGTTTCTAAATCAAATAGGTTATATCGCAAAAAATTAAAAGTTGATTTACAAAGTTTAAAGTTTCCCTATTTATCGTTTAAAGCAGTAGGTATATTATAAGAGTCAAATCCAAAAGAATTTGTCCCAAACACTATTACAGTAATATTGATCATTAAAATTTATAAATGCTTATAAATTTAACTTAAAAATCAAATTCCAAGTATCACTTCAGATTATAAAAATGTCAAATAGTCAATAATTTATAATTTAAAAGTATATGTTCATTAGACTAAGGTTTGGGGCACATCCAACTATACGAACTCATGATCTAAAAAGGAACTGCTCTGGAATTTTAGGTTCATGTTCATAGGATAAGGTCTAGGCACTTTAGAACAACCTCCTACACTGATTCCAAAAATTTTATCTTTATTTTTATTAATTAATGTTTACGGAAAATTGTTTAGTTAAAGAATTATAATGAGATTAAATTAGCATGTACAATATATAAGAAGTTTATTAATAGTATTAAGCACGTAAATGTAAAGGACTGAAAATTATAGAGTTTCACAATTGTATTTCAAATGGGTTGTAATTGAATAATATGGGTACATATATTAATTATGTGAATTGTATTTTGATATGTCTATGGAATATAATTAATGGGCCTGAAGCCATGACTATGATTAGAATATGAGTTTAACTAATATAGACTTACTACAGGCTTATAAGGCCTTAAGCCCACTCAGATCCTATTGCCGATCTGGCCCTTGGAAACGGGTCGTGATATATACGTAGCACAAGCATGCAATATAATGTGTGTGGAAATTGTTGTGTTACTTAAGTCTCTATACACAATTTCTGATTCACTGAATGTGATCTGCCATAGATTTAGATTTTGGAAAACTCTTTCTAAAACGGGCTTTTCTGTTTATCTTAAAATTTTACATAGGTGGTGGTATGAATATTTAAAAAGGAATTTTAAATGGGTTTAAAATGAATACGAGTATTGAAATATTTAATCGGATTTGTATGTAATAGTACAAATTTTGTGAGTATCCGCCCACTTCTATCCCTAGTTATTACTTCTCTCTATAAATAATTTAGATATTAAGGTGAAATTTCTATTTATTACTTAGAGATTTGCATCGATGATGGAAATTTCTCTATTTTTACAAATCTTTCTTATAAACCATTTCCATAAATTAGTAAAGCTGGTCGAAAGAGAAATAAGATTCCAACCATTATCAAATCAAGCTAAAGAATTGAAAAATATTTAATGTACCAAATCCTTGAAAAAAGCTTATGAATCTTTTGCATAATTAAACTAAAAAAAAAAAAAGATAAGGTTGTTATAAATATAAAAAAAAAAGTGAAAATATGAAAGTTTGAGCAAAGTAAAGAAGCAACCTGCTACATTGACGTGCAGGGAAGAGCTCTTGGATTTGATCCTCATTAAACGCATCTGCAGGGAATGATAATGAATCTTAACTGTGACTAAACCCCGAACCAGATTAGACGATCGCTGATAATGGAGTCCGGATATCGATGGTTTAAAAAAAAAAAAAAAGAAAAAGAAAGAAGCAACCTGCTTTTGCTCATACCACGTAAAACACCATATTTTCTTTGAATCATAGGGGATCCCAATTCAATATGATACGTGCCATAATTGAACTTGTTTAAGTGTCTGTTCCTTTCATCAATGATCAAATCGATAGCTGTTAACGAGAGATCTTTAAGATATTTGAAAGTTATTATAAATGTTTTTGCATTTTTAGGAGATTTAGATTTGAATTTGTTATTATTAATTTAAATATTATTAGAACTCTTGAAGAATATTTAAAAAATTATAGCTTCTTTAAAGAAAGAATTTGAGATAAAAAATATTAGGTAATAAAGTTTTATCTCGATCAAAAGATCGAGCACTTGATAATGGAACTTTTATCTAATAATCTCTCTCTCTCTCTCTCTATATATATATATAGTGATTACTATTCTGAAAGTGTGTTAAAATAATAATCCATGTGACTAAACCGTATTTCGTTAACACCTATAGAACGAACAAAGAATTATTACGATTTCGCATTAATACAGCCGTGATAAGAATTAAGTTTTCAAATAATATGTTGAATGTTCATATATAGGTAGGTGAAGTAATGGACAGTCCTTGCTTGAAAACCATAGGATATCGATGGTTATATTAGAAGAAAAAAAAAAAGAAAAAATAAAAAAGAAAAAAAAAAGAAAGAAGCAACCAACCTGCTTTTTGCTCATACGACGTAAAAATACAACGCCAAATGAATAGTAGTTTATCTCTATTTTTGAATCATCAGGGTGAAAATTGAAGAATTGCCTTTGGGCAGCCAATCAAGCTTTAAATGTGAATTACGTTGCCCAACAATTGAACTCATTGGCTGGTCTTAAGTGTCGCTTTCCAATTCTTCAAATTCAAATAGGAAATATGACAAAAAGAATAGCGACTTATCTTGAGCTGTTTCAGAGGAAGCATTCTTTAACAGAGAGATTGTATTGATGTATTGAAGGAAAGATCTTATAGGATATTCTCTGAACAGTTATTTATATAGCATTAACATGTTTATTTAATGAGGCAGCTTATATACCAAGGAAAAACGCATTTTATTGGAAATGTAGAATTATATGAGTTAATTATTTGAGATTTACACTTATAAATATTGATTAAAAATGAAATCGTTCGTTGGAGAAATAAATGGTATTTAAAAAAAAAATAATTTATAGATGAGGTCGATTTATTTCAATTTAAAAAGAAAAGATATTTGAAGGTAATATAAAATCAATATGTTAGGATTTAACCACCATAGAAAGGTTTATGTTCGCTTTTAGCCAAAGTAAGATACTAAAGAAGAATGAATGAGTACTTAAGCCACGTTCGCATAATAATGGAACTTTTAATCTAATAATCTCTCCAATCTCTTTCTCGGTCATCTACCTATAATATTACTAAAAATTATTTTGTATATATACACTGAAATATTATATAATTTACCTCAATAATTACTATAATTATCATATAATAGTATAATTATATTACATAACTAAATTCTTTTTAATCATTCAATAAGTAAATATTATATATGATATAATAAGTGGATTAGATCCAGATTGGAACTGAGCAAATAGTACATAAAATGAGTTTTATGCACTGATCAAGTTTATTAATCCAGATAATAAAATCAATTATTGATTCCCATTTAGGTCAAATGAATTCGATATATCTTGACACTATTATTTATGACCCGAGAGTGAAGAGTACCAATTAGTTAAAGATTTATTGGATAATAACGCCTCGTATAGACGTAATAAATATATCATTCTTGCCCCTTCACATGGCCCACAATTTAGACTTTGATATGAGAACAATTTTTTTTAATTTATTGGAAAATTTTAGATATTGTAAGCTACAAATTAAACTATAGGAGTGAAATTAACTATAATAACCTATAATTAAACCTACAACGAATTTTATACTATCACGCTGTATAATACTATGGAAGTCTTTACCAAGCTAAGTTTAGTCATTTGGTATTCATTTATAAAATTATAGAAAAAGTTAAGAAAATGATCCGCTTTAATAAACAAAAAATAATTATCTATATTCCTTTTGAATAATCGAAACTAAAATAAAGGTATATACAATATGGATTTTTCCGCTCTGAAAGATAACTTTGATCCACAGTATTATATTTGCAAATCAACTCATTAATGTTGTAGTTGCGACCTTTAGTGTCTTTTTAATAATAATTTGGACTTAGACAAAGTTATAACTTCTCATAGGAAAATCTTTGATACGTATTATGGCATTGTAGATTTTCTTATAACAAAAGCTTGTTGTCCATCTGATGAATGTCAATCATATCTTCTAATCAAGTTTCGATACAGACTCTCAAATAGAGGAATCATTGCCTTCTGTCAAATATTCATGAAGCTAACCATTGATCGAATAATTGATGATTAGTTATTCAAAAATCAAGAGTGGAAGAAAATAAGAATCTAGGAAATATTTATCATATAACGAACAAAAATAGATGCAGAATAAGAGGAATAAAATTTAAAATATATCTAAAATATCAATACATTTATGGATAAACTAACAACGCTTACAATCAAAAGAATCGCAAACTTAAACTCTCATGAAAACACTAACAGAAGGGATATAAAGCAAAAAATGAGACTCAGAAATAAATGAGGAGAACAAATAGCAAACAATCGATATAAAAAATTAAAAGAGAAAAAAAAAAAAACAAAGAAAACTGGATCTAGATTAAGAAATTGGAAGCAAATCAAAAATCTGAATTTTATTATAAGTAGAAAAGTTCAGAATCAAATAAAAGATTAGGAATATAAAAGAAAAAGAAAAGGAAGGGAGCTAAACTCTTGATTAATAAGTCGACACTAAAGTCTCCAAATCAAACATAATTCTAGGCACAAAAAATAAAGGTGTAGTTAATTTCGCCAAGAGAAAAAAAAAAAAAAAAAAAAACAAAGAAAAACGGATCTATTAGAAGCAAATAAATCTGAATTTATTAATATCAAATAAAAGATTAGGAATAAAAAGAAAAAAGAAAAGGAGGAGGCTACCTCTGATTA